CTACATCCTGCTGCCGGGCATGGGCAAGCCTCAGCTGGACCCTTACCCCGCGGCCTACGCCGCCGCGCTATGACCCCCGCGGGGCCACCTGGCGAGGTTCGGTGTGCACACATGTACATATGTATAGGTACGAGCTCTGCGGCCACCCGGTGCGCCCTCCCGCCACGGGGGACCCCGGGTTGTTTGTACATAAGATGTATAGGTGCCAGGCAGAGGCAGAGATGCCAGTCGGGGCGCGAGCGCGCGTGTGAATTCACAGGATCATTTCGGAACCGCGCTTCGGCAGCCAGCTTTAAAGTGGGCAGTTGTATTCCGGCAGGAGTTGGCGTTTGTTTTGCACTTCGGAACCTGTTGCGTTTTGGCCCATAGAGGTGGAGTCACTTTTTGACATGTTGGGCACTCCAGTTTTGTTTGTTGGAAGTTTATTGTCGGTTTTATTTTTGTTTCTCATTATCTTTCTCTCATTTTTTCCCCCCTCCTGGTCTGCGTTGCATGCACACTGTTCAAATGTTAGGTCTGAAATGGCTGACACCAGGGAAAACCAGATCTATGCCATTAGTTTCTTTGGAGCGGGATGGTGCTGAGCAACCTTGCTCCCTATTTGTCCTATTTGAACTTTGCCAATCTCTGCTCTCTCAAGCAGAAACCCCAGACCGGATCCATTCTTGACCAGTGACCAGCTCGAATCTGGCCTTTTGTATGTGAGATGATCGCGGTTTCTTTTGTTTCTCACGCCATATGCAAATCAGAGCAAGAGCTCTTTCTCAAGAGCAAGGAATGCAAACAAGAAATATGTGTGCGATTGAAAAGTTGTCAATTGGATCTTCCCTCTTAAATAAAAACAAAACAGGTGGAAATCACCCTGAGTCCACTCACTTGGATTTGCTGACACAGTTTATAGACAATGTAAAGGCCCTGTTTCTATTTTCCCCTATGGCTGAGATTGTAAATGTGTACATGTTCATGAAAACATTAAGTCTGAGAATGTGTTATTTGCGTTGCCCTAAATTTGAGTCGATTTTAGACTCTAAAGCATTTTGAGCAAATATCAAAGTTAACTTTTTAAAAATTACAATTTTACCTAAGATTAAATCGGACTTTTTTTTTTGCCTGAGTGGCAATTATATATTTATTATTTAGCAAAACTGAAAAGAAAAAAAAACACTCACAGAATTGTTTTGACAGATGTCTCTTGTTGTCAGCCAGCATTTCTCCACCAACTTGAACCGTTTAAATGTGTTTTGGAATTCCCTCCCTAATTAGCTTATTTTTTAGATCATCTGCAATTCATTTGCAATTTATGATAAAACACATTTTAGAGAAAAGAACCTTCCTCAATTATAGCTTTTGTGTTTCTTTTTAAATGTATATATTTTGACTAATGTTTGTGAATGAAGTTGGCTAACATGTATTTAGTTTCATTTTGGCTTTATGTAATATACAGTTTTTAAAAGTTTAAGTATTGGTTTTAACCTTTATGTGTAAATGGTTTTCTTGTGTGATCTTCTAATTTAATATTAGACATCTAAACTATATCTGTAAATTAGAATCCGACTATCACTCTGTTCATTTTTTGAACAAAGAGTTTAAATAAAGCCTGAACCAGGGAAAAGAGAAAATCCTCTATTTCTTGTTGAGTTCCTAACAAGATTTTTATCTGAATTGCCCTTACGTGCCTGGTCCAGGTGAAGTGTAAGGTATCCTCCAAAGGCAGCCTTTGTTTCACTTTTGAATAGATTTACTAGGAAATCTAAATCAAGCCATTGTTATTCAGAGCCAAAAACCTGATTTATCACATTTTTAATCGTGAATAGGAAAGAAGATTTAAAAACCCAAGTAGTTGTATTATCTTGAGGGGGAAAAAAAAAAAAAAGGCATTCATGAACCAGTAGAACAGAGCCCATTGAAAACATCCAGACCGTTCAAAGCATTTCACTAGTTTCCAGTAACATTTTAAGAGGGGAAAGTTGCCTGACCACTTTATCTTGTTAGTAGGAGAGCCCCGCCACTTGCACCAGTGTAATTTGTTCACGTATCTTTGGCATATACCTTATTTACACCTTAAGATTTTATGTGGAAGAATTACCACAGCTAACAACAACATACAACTTTGGGCCTCTGTAGGGCTTTATTTTGTCATGCTAATGGCATTTAAATAGAAGTATAACACATTCTAATGGAGAGGGTTGAATTTCCAGATCTAGACAAGTTTCCACTGGAAAATGTTTGAAATCACAAAGGATTTTACTTTTAGAGAAGAGATTATAAGGCACCAGGAAGAATATCAGAGAACAAATTAATTAATAAAGGGAGATCTTTACCCTCCCCCCCCCCTCACGAAGTAGAAATTCTCAAGACACAACACTCAACTAGTTTTAAACTCCTTCCCCATTGACAGAGACCATCTCTGGAGCTGCAGTCTTTATAAGCAACCCAACTCTTTAAAGTCATTGTTTTTCCCCCAATGGAATATTTTAAAAACCATGAAAAGTTTTGGAAATGTGAGAAATAGGCTCTGCTGGTTTGACCCTGATTCACTAATTAAAACGATCCCTCTCCTGTTATTCCCCGAGCTCTTTGCAATATTATAAGTTAATTCATATGGTTCTGAGCGATTATGCAAAACTAATTTGGACTGTCCAGGGGTAATTATCCCTGACACGGTTAATTAAATCCTTTCAAGCCTTCGTCTTTGCCTTTTGTAGCAGCCCATCACTTCTCAACACGGAACTTCCTGCGGCTCTCTGGAAATCACCCCAGCCCTAAATCTTAGTTACCTCCCCGAGACTCCCAGCTCGGGCCCCACCGGCCGAAGATTCCCCGCCCCCTACCACCCCCTCCCCTTTTCCCAAAGAACAGCGCTTTCTGGGAGCCACGCTCTGGAGTATTGAATGAGAAGAGGACTGGCAAGATAGAAGGGGAGGAGGGAGGATGCCTGGGGTGAGCGCGCAGGGTCACACAGCCAACAGATTGTGCGGCAGTTTGAGTACGTCCACAGGCCCACAGGGGGTGACTAGTTTATCACTCCTCGGTCTTCATAGGCCTTGCTAACCGGTTGCGCCTGGAGAAAGCTAGACTGCGCGGAAGGGGAGCGACCCCGAGACAAGAGGAGGTGGAGAGGGCCCGGTGTGTGTTTAAGAGTCTGAAAGTGACCCACAGATACAGCGCTGGGACTAAGCCAAGAGCTGCTGCAAATCGAGATCTCCACCTACCCATGTCTATACCTCTCTCTCTCCCTCCCTCCTTCCTCCCTTCCCTTCCCTTCCTTCCGTTTGTTCTTGCATTGACGCTTCTTTTTACGGTTTAAAAAAGCCACGACATTTCTTGGGTAGTCACGGTTGCCTACGGGCTTTAAACAAGTTTCACATGCGAGGGGGCAGGCGCGTTGCCTTTCAGCTTTGCGCAAACAGGTGGAATTGTTCTGCTCGAGCTATAAGGACCGGAGCTGGGGGCACGCGGCCGTTCGCGGGATGGCTTCCGGGAGCAGTGGAGTCACGTCGTCTGACCATTTCCAACCCCCTCGCCTCCAAAATTGAAACAAAACAGCGGGGATCTCTCTCTCACCCCCTTGGCCGGGGGCTGCCTCTGCGAGGGGCGCAGAAGATGGAGAGGAGACTGGACCGTCTTCCCCCAG